GGAATGGCCGCCCCAGAGGGCCTATGTGTTTCCCCCCCCGTTCTCCGTGATATCGAGGGTCCTGCACAAGATATGGACACAACATACAGCCATCCTAATGATAACCCCATTCTGGCCGAGTCAGGTCTGGTTCCTGGACCTATTGGAACTCTCGCACGATCACCCACTGAGGCTCCCTTACTTCCCATCCCTACTAACCAACCCTCAAGGGGAGCTATATCTGCTTGTCCTACAAGACCGGCTCCTTTTGGTGACCTGGACACCTTGGGATGTCGATGGGGGGATCTTGGGATGTCGATGGATTATCACAGATGATTAAAGTTCTCCTATGAGACTCCTGGGCCCCAGGCACTCAACGGTAATACCTGGCAGCCTGGAACAGATGAGCTCACTGGTGTCTGGAGAGGGACTTAGATCCCTTTTCATACCCTGTTCCCATAGTTTTTGAACTTCCTATCCTCCATGTTTTCGACAGGGCCAATCCTATCGTTCGGTTAACGTTACACAATCTGCGATATCGGTAGCCCACATCCCTGTCCTCAGACGTCCGGTGGGACAGGACCCGTTGGTCTGTCGCCTCATGAGAGGTATACGCCTATCTCGCCCACCGTGCCTGAAGTATTCACATCTTTGGGACGTTGTGTTGGCCTTGGAGACTATTCGGAAATGGCCTGACGAGTCGCTATCCCTGCGACAACTGTTGGCTAAACTCACTTTACTGCTATTTCTTGTCTCGTTACGTCGGATATCGGATGTCAGAGCGTTCGACGTAGGCGGTCTTTCCTTCTCACTGGAGGGCGTCTCTTTTTCAGTTGTGCGACGGACGAAAACAAATACATCCTCTGTTTTTTACCCGTTTTTTTCCTCCTCTCCACGACTCTGCGTGGTCAAAACTCTCCTTCGTTATGTGGAAGTCACCGTGACTCTCCGTCGTGCGCCCTCGGGGCAATTACTTGTGTCTTATGTACAACCACATGGACCAGTCTCATCCACGACCCTTGCTAGATGGGTCAGTTGGCTATTTTCCCTGGCGGGCGTCGAACCGTTGTTCGGAGCACATTCCGTATGCGACAGCTATGCAACCCTTTTCATTGGGTGCTTCGTTGTCAGATATCATGCGTTCTGCGGACTGGTCTCGCAAAGACACTCTTAGGATTTTCTACTTCAGACCTGCTTCTCCTACTTCCTTTGCTCTTTTTACATAGCGTTAAAAATGCAAATATGAAGCCTCCTGTCATGTGGTAAAATTGTAGATTATGCTAACGGAGTGTACCTATAATCTTAATTTTGGTAATAACCAGAGGTGAATATTTCCTTCCCTTATTTTGAGTACCATCTCTAGATGGGGTTTTTTCTCTTCTATGATTATTTGTTTACATACCTTCTCTGCTTGTTATCATTTCTGGTATGTTGCTAATGTTTACGCTTCATCTTCTACGAGTTATGTCTGTTATATTACAAGTTATGTTTACTCAGACAACATTACAGTAAATTATGTTCAATATAGTATGCATGAAAAACTGGCATTTCGTTGCCTTTTACTTTTTTTGTTCCTTTCAGTGTGAAAATTGGCTATCTACACTGAACTACCACGGATTAATTGTCTTTTACACCTTTCGTGGAAGTTTGCCAGATCCACTACGTTATGGACGCTATTCTTGTTCGTTGTTCTACTAATTTCGCTTCAAAGAAAGAGGAAGAGGCAGAATTGGCGAATATCTGGCTCAAATTCAGGCATCCGAATAAGTGTTGTTCGACCCAGAAAAAAAGAATAAAATATAGTGCTCTCTGTAAAGTAATTAAAAGTTGTAAAAGAGTATAAAATATACTACTCACATTATTTAGAGCAAGCTTGTACTGCTCGGTGTAAGCGCTTAGGTGGTATAATCCCCACCTATGGATTCTTTAGACGTCTTGTAAAATATGCAGTATGTGTATAGTCAGGTGAAAAAAGAAAGAAAATGGCAATAAAGTATTTTATGCCAAAATAATTTCTTTATTATAAAGTAATAAAAATAATATCTAAACGCGTTTCGCCTCAAGGGCTTCTTCAAGTAGATAATAGTAAAAAAGGACATCACTATTATCTACTTGAAGAAGCCCTTGAAGCTACTTGAGAACTTATTTTGGTGGGCAATCTTTTTACAGGCCTTCCTGAACATTGGTTTCGGTACACCACAACTGACTTATGCACCACTAATATAACTCAGCTTATTGTCCCCGACCACAATTATTATTTTAGCATTTTTTATTGCAACAGAGAGCACTATTATCTGGCTTTTTATATTCTTGTCATTTTGGGTTTAACAAAACTACCTCTCCTTTGGACACTTATCCACATATCCCAAGTGGGGATTATACCACTGTACGCTACTACAACTGGAGCTGGTCATGGCTCCATTAAATGTGAGTAAGATACCACGTTTTTATTATATACAATACGCTTATATTAATTTATTACACTATTGGATTACCTGTTCTTTCTATATGAATCTTACCAAGGAACCTACTTTCTAGTAGAATAATCTACCATATACACCTACCAACTACCCAAAAATGTATATTATATTTAAAGGGATATTTTTTTATTCTGGCCTATTTCATTTGATTACTGACAACAGCATTTTATTGTATTCTTGTGGCGCAACCTCTTTGTTTTTGTTTATTTCTGTTGATTCTGAAAAGGGTTGGAGGGATACCCTTTTTTAGTTTGCTGCCCTGCCTTATCTGGTTAATTAGTGCTAAACCTGCTCTATCTTTTGTACCCTTACAAAGTGTGGATATTGTTAAACAGCATGAACGTGTCTGGATTTTGCAGTTCAAATGATCCCATATGCAGCTGCATGGTTTTGTCCCATTCAGTATGGAGCTATTCGGATTTTAGTGAATAGTCCGATAGTCTGTGTATGGCATTTCTTTGTAGACTGTGCTGTTCTGGCTGTGCTCTGCAGTTAGTAGGCTGTACTGTGCAGTTAGTAAGATGTGCTGTACCAAACTCTTTAAAAGCATAGGTGTAACAGAATCATGCCCAATAAGAAAATAGTAAAAGTGAACAGTGTACAGGGCAACATGTTACTTTCATACACCATCTGTACCTGTTGTAAAAATATTCAAATTGATAGTCACAATCCTTAAAAAGTGGAACAGTGTAGATGTAAAGTTAAATATCAATTAGATATAAATTAGAATCAGACTTCCCTTATGCAGGAATTGCAACCCCGAAGATTTCCTCAATCTACTAGCATAAATATAAAAAAAACAATAGCGGTGAATCTGCTAGGAAGAATGAGAAGAAAGGTAGTGCTTAACTGTGTTGATTTTAAAATTAGTGTTAGATACAATTGGCCACTCACATTTTAAATGCCAAGTTCAAGCCTTATAATATATTTGATGAAATCCCATTCTCTTTAATATTTTTATTAGTGATATTGCAAAAGGTCTTGATGGTAAGGTATGTCTTTTTGCTGATGATACTAAGATATGTAACAGGGTTGATGTTCCAGGAGGGATAAGCCAAATGGCAAATGATTTAGGTAAACTAGAAAAATGGTCAGTTGTGGCAACTGACAATTAATATGCATAAGTTCAAGATAATGCATATTGGACGTAAAAAACCAAGGGCAGAGTACAAAATATTTGATAGAGTCCTAACCTCAACATCTGAGGAAAGGGATTTAGGGGTGATTATTTCTGATGACTTAAAGGTAGGCAGACAATGTAATAGAGCAGCAGGAAATGCTAGCAGAATGCTTGGTTGTATAGGGAGAGGTATTCGCAGTAGAAAGTGCTCATGCCATTGTACAGAACACTGGTGAGACCTCACTTGGAGTATTGTACGCAGTACTGGAGACCGTATCTTCAGAAGGATATTGATACTTTAGCGAGAGTTCAGAGAAGGGCCACTAAACTGGTTCACGGATTTCAGGATAAAACTTACCCGGAAAGGTTAAAGGATCTAAACATGTATAGCTTGGAGGAAAGACGAGATAGGGGGGATATGACAGAAACATACATAAATGGAATCAACACAGTAAAGGAGGAGACCATATTTAAAAGAAGAAAAACTATCACAACAAGAGGACATAGTTTAAACTAGAGGGGCAAAGGTTTAAAAATAGTATCAGGAAGTATTACTTTACTGAGAGGGTAGTGGATGTATGGAATAGCCTTCTAGCTGAAGTGGTAGAGGTTAAAGGACCACTCTAGGCACCCAGACCACTTCAGCTTTATGAAGTGGTCTGGGTGCCAGGTACCTCTAGGATTAACCTTTTTTTTTATAAACATAGCAGTTTCAGAGAAACTGCTATGTTTATACTGAGGTTTAATCCAGCCTCCAGAGCCTCTAGTGGCTGTCTCATTGACAGCCGCTAGAGGCGCTTGCGTGCTTCTCACTGTGAAAATCACAGTGAGAGCACGCAAGCGTCCATAGGAAAGCATTGTGTTGGGTGTGCTGTGTGTATGTGTGAAGGGTGCAGCATGCATATTATTATTATTATTATTATTATTGCCATTTATATAGCGCCAACAGACACACACAGCACCTTCACTCACACAGCACCCTCAGACACACACACAGCACCCTCAGACACACACAGCACCCTCACGCACACACAGCACCCTCACTCACACAACACCCTCAGACACACACATCACCTTCAGTCACACAACACACTCACACACAGCACACACACACAGCACCCTCAGACACACACACACAGCACCCTCAGACACACACAGCACCTTCACTCACACAGCACCCTCAGACACACACATCACCTTCAGTCACACAACACACTCACACACAGCACACTCTCACACATATTCAACACACACACACGTATGTATATTATATAAAATAACCCTCAGTAAGTTAACAGACTAAAAAAATTAGAAACATAGAATGTGACAGTAGATAAGAACACCCTCACACACACAGCACCCCTCTTACACACACACTGCAATCCTCACACATGCTGCACCCTTCACACATACACACAGCACACACACAACACACTGCGCCCTTCACACATACAATACGTCCAAACATATATTTATATATGTATGTGTTTGGACGTATTGTATGTGTGAAGGGCGCAGTGTGTTGGGTGTGCTGTGTGTATGTGTGAAGGGTGCAGCATGCATAATATTATTATTATTATTGCCATTTATATAGCGCCAACAGATTCCATAGCGCTTTACAATATTATATACTACAGCACCACTACACACATTATGCTCCAGATACACTCTAGATCCCTATATACACTCTGAATCCTCTATACACACACACACACAATCTCCTATACACACAAGATCCCCTACACACACTGCACCACCTACACACACTATATTCCTGACATACAAACTCTGGATCCCCTATGCACACACTACATTCCTTTCAAGCAAACACATACTACATTCTCTAAACACACACTCTTTACAACCCCTACACACGATACAGCCCGTTTGCACACACTCACTACATCCCCCATACACACTATGCCCCTTATAAACACTCGCTACAGCCCCTAGCCACACATATTACACCCCAAACACGAATTAAATTGACCTATTTACACAATACCATACCACAATCAGCTTACTCAACACACACGCAATCCCACAAGCAGGCTCCAAACACATGCACCACACATTTTACTGGCTCTTTTGTTCTCTGGTATCCCACTTATGGAGACACCAGAGACAAGTTAAAAACAAACACAGCGCAACATTGTTATTAAATTTGCTTGCACTGCGCAGAACAAGTACAGGGCCTTTTTCCCATGCTAGAGCTCTTCAGCAGGACTCTGCGCATTGAACTAACATGCTCACTTTGAGAGGGGGCGTGCTTGTCATTAGTGATGACAAAACACACCCTCTCTGACCCTGCCCCTTTCTCAGGGGGCTGCTGCAGTGGTGTATCCTGGTTTTGTGCTGCCCTAGGCAGGAAAAAACTCAGGCGCCCCCCAACCGCCCCTGCGCGCGCGCCCCCCACCCATCCCTTCCCCCCCGCGCGCGTGACCCCTCCCATCCCTTCCCCCGCCTTCTAAATACACACACACACACACACTCACTAGCAGAGACTCACTAGCAGAGACACACTCACTCACAGACACACACACTCACAGACACATTCACTCACACACTAACAGACACACACACACACTAACAGACACACTCACTAACAGACACACACACACTCACTAACAGACACACACACACACTAACACACACTCACTAACAGACACACACACTAACAGACACACACACACACTAACACACACTCACTAACAGACACACACATTAACAGACACACACACACTCACTAACAGACACACACACTAACAGACACACACACACAATAACAGACACACACAATAACACACACTCACTAACAGACACACACACACACACTAACACACACTCACTAACAGACACACACACTAACAGACACACACACACTAACAGACACACACAATAACACACACTCACTAACAGACACACACACACACTAACAGACACACACACACTCTAACAGACACACACACTAACACACACTCACACTAACACACACTCACACTAACACACACTCACTCACATTAACACATGTACTTTTTAAATCTCCCCCCCTCCCCCCTCCAGCCTTCTTACCTTTGGGAGTGCTGGGGAGGGAAGGGGTATCTCCCTGGTGGTCCAGTGGCTGATGGGTGGGTGGCATTGGCGGGCGGGCGGCTGACGAAGGAGCTTTTCCTGTGAGCTGACTGCTCAGCTCCCTCGCGCGCCGCAGAGTGAGGCTGGGAGCCGGGATATGACGTCATATCCCGGCTCCCAGCCTCACTCTGCGGCGCGCAAGGGAGCTGAGCAGTCAGCTCACAGGAAAAGCTCCCTCGTCAGCCGCCCGCCCGCTCGCCAATGCCGCCCGGCACCCAGCATGTCTGTTAGCCGCGAGGCTAACATGACATTTGCCTTGGGCATTTGGGGGGCGGCTTTTTTTGCCGCCCCCTGAAAAATTACGCCCAAGGCAAATGCCTTGTTTGCCTCGCGGCTAAAACGCCCCTGGGCTGCTGTGATTAAAAAATGCCCGGGCCGAATTTTTTTCCCAGTCCGGCCCTGTTGTGACAGTTTTGTCAGTGTTCAGGAAGAGTTTGTTTTTTGCAATCCATTTTTCTACCTCGGTAAACTGGTCTTGGAGCACAGCCTTAAGCTGCGGTAGATTGGATTTGCTCGCATAGATTACTGTGTCATCTGTGTACATGTGTACATTTGAGGATTTGCAGACATTAGGCAGATCATTTATAAATAATGTAAATAGTAGGGGGCGGAGAATGGAACCTTGGGGAACACCACACGTGCAAAAATTTTACACAATAAAGTGCAAATCACACAATGTGTGGGGGTGGTATCGGAAATATAAGTGCAACTCCCCAGTGTTTAAAAAACCACTTAAAAAACACTAATATAAGATAGAGGGGTGCAAATAGAAATATGTATATAGTAAAGTAGTGTCACCACTTGTTATATAGACACTTGATTGTCCTTTGAACATCACCTATATACAAGAAAAAGTCAAAACATAGCATAATACTGTTTGACCAAATAACATCAATACATAAAGATGGTTTTCCCTACACTTTGCAGAGCCACATATAGTAGGCTCTGACTTTTGTAGCACTTTAGAAAATCCCTGGTATTTATTCCTCCACCACACCTCCGGATCGCTCCACTTGTGCCAGGATACAGTAGATGCAAATAATTCCAGAAGAAAGTGGGGATACTTATCAAAAATTTAATTACACATAAAATAAAGACAGGGACATAAAAAGTGCATAAAAGTGAAAATAAAATAACAGCACTATACAGCAGCACTGACGCGTTTTGACTATCAAGAGTCTTTCTCAAAGTGCATAAATCATAAGTCTCCATATCTTGTATATATACCGGTTTGGTATTCAAATTTGGTGCCAAATTGTCCGTTTTCATTACGTACATCCACTTCCTGTTTCCGCCGAATGGCTTCACTTGTTCACACCTTCTTTTGCGTCAAATTGCGTCTGACGTCAGACGCTTTTCTCCGAACCCGGAAGTGATATGTACTGTGTTTCTGAAGCAACCGCAGCCATATTAGAAAGTCTTTCATAATATACAATTTACACGGGACCATCCTGGCATGTTTTATCTTAAGTTATAGAAAATAGAACATCTATTCATACTTAAAAATACATAATATATATGCTGATAACAATATATTAAAAATATCAATATATAAAACAAAAATATACTCAAAAATAGAGGGAAAGAGAATTTAATATCATAAAAAAGGATACCACATAACATACATAATGCCTGTAAAAGATAACAATATAAAACACATAAATCGTTAATACATATATTAATAAAAGTATATTAAACAGTTAAAAATATATTAAATAAGCACACTCATCTCAAACTCCATATTAAGTCCCTTAGGTGATAGTGTGTCCAAATTAAAAATCCATCCCATTTCACATTTACTCAGGTTTGAATTTATATCACCCCCTCTCCAATGCTTTGCTACAGTTTGGATCCCACAAAACTTGATCCCACTTGGATCTTGATTGTGGTATTCCAAAAAGTGCAGAGAGACACTATGAGTTTTGAGTCCCTTTCTAATGTTGTATTTGTGTTCACGTACCCTCGTGGCCACACATCTAGATGTTTTACCCACATATTGTAGGCCACAAGGGCACTCCAACACATATACCACATTTTTGAACACCACACGTGACTGGGAGAGGGAGGGAGTCGCTGTCAAAAATGGACACATATTACGAGCGATCCGATACATACGATCAAAACCAGGTTAGCGAATGATCACCAATACCTGAGTTTTTGAGTTTGTGCAGTAGAATGTCGTGGTCTACTGTGTCAAAGGCCTTAGCAAAATCAAGGAAAATAGCTCCAATTAGGTCTCCTTGTTCCATGCCAGTTTGGATGTCATTGCAAACTTTTAAGAGGGCAGTTGTAGTGGAGTGATTCTGGCGAAAGCCCGATTGATCAGGGCTAGTTTGATTGTTGGTAGTACTCACATAGTTGCGTATGGACACATTTCTCTAAGATTTTTGACAATACCGGGTATTGGGCGATAGTTAGAAACCAAAGTAGTGTCACCACTTGTTTTTTTACATGTCTAGGCAATATATTAACAAAATAGATTTGGGACAATAAACTACAATAAAACTGAAATTCAGAAACAGTAATTACTGCTACAATTATGCATTAAAAATACATAAGTGTATTTTATTTAGATAACCCATACACTAGATCTATGACCATAAACAAGAATGTGGTTAAACATATCAGACCAAACAATATAAGAGTAAAGTAGGGACATACTGTATATTGAAACAAAATGTATTTAAAAAAAGAAAAATGGTATTTAATATTTAGCTACTATATAGGGATTGTTTTCTAGTTTTGACCTACAAGTTCTAATTTATATTTAATTTTTTAGTAGCCAACCTCCTCTCCTACTCCCTCTAATCTCTGTTTTTGGATCTAGAAATTTCACTTCTTTCTGTTTTATTGCTATTTAACTCTGAATTACATTTTAGCATGTGTAAAAGAATAACACAATTTAAAGTTTTTTTTGTATAACTAACAGTTTTTTTTTTTAAATAATCTTTATTTTGAACATTTTCACCAAAAAAAAAAAAGAATACCTCAACTGAAGAATCATAGAAAGAGAGAAGACAAAGCAAAGATATGTGGGGTAAAAGAAGGTGTGGAATCCAGGAAGATGTTATATAGTAACATGTTCTTTGGATATATTTTAGGGTCCATATCAAGGGCCAAGTTTAACCAGAAAATTAACTTCACTAATAATAGATATAGCTCAACACAATCTACATTTAGAGACAGTGTCAATTCTTTGAGAATTCATGTTACTAGCTTAAAGCTTAAAATAATGCATCCTGTGGATTAGTTTTCATCTTTAACTTTTACCAACTCTGATTGCAACACTTCTTAAGAATCCTTTATGCTTAATAAAACTTTTCGGAAACACTTGTCATTTGTACTTACTCCTAATCAATTTTAAAGATATGTTTGACCTCCAAGTCTGAGTAGTCGCAAGA